TGCAAATAAATACGGCCAAGTTCTCTGTTCTCCAAATCCGAGCTGCTAATCCTCCTACTATATATGTTACCGGCAGCGGTTGTCCCTAGCAGGTTGATTTAGAGGGCGTACACTCATCAGCAATTCATTTCGGCAGACACTTGGAAGAAGGCTGAGTGTCATGTGTTTCGTATGATATTGTTTATCCGCCACTCTTTGGAAATCCTAAAGGCCAATTTGTTTGTGAATGTATCCTCGGCATTCGTCCGACCCCGCTTCGAATAGCGTATCCAGGCTGGTCTACCATGTGTTCTCCGAGACAAATTGGACTTGGAGATGGTTTTACGAGTGGGCACTCGGTTAGTGCGGATCTACGGGGACAGACGTATCCTAACGCTTGCTGAGTTTGGGTTATGCTAAATGCACTACCAAAGGATAATAAAAGACTTGAGGCTTGCATGCCGTATTTTGACAGGTGTGATCGGCCCGTGCTTGTCAGAGCTATTTATTCCCGCTACTGTAACTAATTTTCGCGGCCACCAATTGAAACTGCATAAACCACCGTCTTATATGAGTTGGACGAGAACTCGTCTATCGCGCCGAGTTATAGATCGACGGCATTCGCTTCCAGATCACGTGTTTATGGAACCTACGGTTATGGGTGTTGCTCGCCAGCTCGATGATATTTAGTGGCAGCACCAAAGCTTTCCTTTTTCCTGATTGACTCATCTTCGCCTTTTAGTTCTCGCTGGAGAGACTGCGTCCAAAACTATCTCTCGCTTTGGAGCGCAGGTGTGGACACTGACCATACACTTGTGTGTGCTGACATGCGGCTGCGTTTTCGCGGACAGCCACGAAGACGCTTTAAGCGCATTAGCATCAGGCAGCTGACGAAGCTAGCTGCTGCAAATGCCTATCGAAGTGCGCTGTCATGCGAGTTGAGTAAGCGCTCGCTGGATGCAATTGAACCTCACTGGTCTCATATTCACCAGACCTTGCCAGCAGCAGGAAAATCCTCATGTGCTAAGTCTACTCGCCAACATGGACACTGGGTCTCTTCGCAGTCTCTGGAACTTATCGATGCTCGCTGGCATATTCCAGCTGGAAGCGAACGCAATGAAACTCCGTGGTAGCCTGAAAAGAGACCGCGAAGACTGGTGGTCTCACCGTGCTTCGGGGTTGAAAATGGCCGCTGCCCTTGATAACCATCGTAAGTTATTCCGGCTGTTACGGGAAACGGGCAGCAGGAGACCTGGTGTTAGTGAAACTATGTGTGACCAGAGTTGACAGCCTATCCACAATTTGTCAAAACGCTTGAGCGTTGTGCTGAGCACTTTGAAAGACAATTTAGTCGGTCGGGATTGTTAGATTTCTCACCGGCCACTGATCGCCCCGCTCCCTGGGCTGTTCCTTTGGATTCGCTCTCTCACTGAGAAGTCGGATGTGAGATCGGACTGTTGAAGTTAAGTAAAGCCACGGGATCTGGATGATCTTCCTCCAGCCCTCTTCAAATTCGGGGGACCTGCTCTTGTGGATGATTTATACGAGTTACTAATGAAACTGTGTGAGTAGGAAACTATCCTAACCGATTGAAGCCGCTCCGTCATAGTCCCAATTTTCAAGGGAGGCTCACGATCGGAATGCGGCAACCATAGAGGAATCAGCCTGATCCCCATCGCCTCCAAATTGCTTGCCTCTGTCATCCTTCACAGACTGACTGGCACTCGTGAATGCCAGATTCGTGAAGAGCAAGCTGGATTTCGTCAAGGTCGGGGCTGCATTAACCACATCTTCACCTTGCGTCAATTGTTGGAGCACCGTCACACATATTTGCGGTCTACCGTAGTCATGTTCCTTGATATCAAAGGTGAATTCGATTTGGTGGCCAGACGAGCCCTTTGGGACTATCTACTCAAGAAAGGTTTACCTGAGAAATATGTAAATATTATTCGAGCATTGTATGCGCGTAGCTCAGGCAGAGTGATGGCTTACGGCAAGCTGTCGTCGCCCTTTAATATCTCCAGCGGTGTGAGACAAGAATGCGCACTGTCACCTTTCCTCTTCAACTTCGCTATCGACGTAGTCATGGACGTCGCGTTCACAGGACACGACTTAGAAGGTGTGGATCTGCTCCCAGGTGAACGACTTCTTGATTTGGAGTATGCTGACGATATTGCCCTAATCTGTTACAGCTCCCAGATGTGCGAAGCGGCATTGGACAGATAAGCACTAGCTGTCCGTCACTTCGGGCTTTGCTACGCACCGAAATGCAGAGCGTTCCTTCAAGATTGGCCTGGACCGCCTCCTCCGCTGACCGTTGGTGGGCATCAGCTAGAAGTCGTTCGAAAATTCAGCTACCTGAGAAGTTGTATCAGCGCACTTGGGATCGAAGGCGAGATCACGAACCGTATAGAAAAAGCTCGAAGTGCTTTTGCTAAGCTTCGCCACTTATGGCGCCGACGCGACATTCCTCTCGCCCTGAAGGGTAGAGTGTACAATACAGCGGTACGTTCGACCCTACTGTACGGTTGTGAAACCTGGCCTCAGATCAGCCGACATGAAGAGGCTAGTTACGTTCGACCATCGGTGCCTTCGCAGTTTGGCTCATATCTGGTGGGAACACCGCGTGAGTAACGAGCGTGTTCGACGCCTTGTTTACGGCGCAGGAAAAGGAAATGAACCGCTCAACACCGTTATTTCACGCATCATGCTCCGATGGCTCGTTCACATGTTGCGCATGCCAGCCCACCGACTCCCGCAACGTGCGTTGTTTACGCGCCTGGGCATGGATAGACGAAGTGGGGAGTCGCCAAGCCATGACTTGGTCAAGAGGAATGAAGGCCCTCACTTCTGAGCTGGCCTCGGTTGGAGCGTCTCGGCTCACTAGTTAGGGTCCGAAAGATGATGATGACGTTTGGCTGGATACGCTTGCTGATATGGCAAGGAGCGGGCCTCAGTGGCGTTGGTGCTGTGAGTTTCTTTGTCCCACCCCATCCCTCTTAGCCCCCATCCAATCACGATCTCACTATTTATCCTTGTATAATTTTGCATAGTAAAATTTCTTTGCTGTCTGATAGCTGGCTTGCACCTTACCGGAACGATGCCCATTCGTTACCGGTAACTCAGCTGTCTTGTACCTTTTGCATTTCTCCCTTTTTTAAGTCTTGCGGCACAGTAGCTGAGGTCTTTCCCACCTTTATCTAATGTGTATAATGATAATGACGATGTTGCATTTGGGCCCCTTTACCATGTTGAGGCCGGTCCTGCCCGGGCATGCATCAGACAGCCTTCGCGCACACCTGTAAAATCTTGTGCTATCGGACCTCTATGCTTGATGCCTCGACTGTTGAAATATTGGAGTAGTTTGTCCGTGACTATTGTGGAGGCGAAATCTCTATCTGAATCTAAGTAATTCATAGACGCCAACTTTGCGAGTGCACTTTACACCTGAAAAGACCTCACATAACCGAACTGCGTTGACATTTGCGCGGTGCCAAATGACGTTATTTCGCGTACTTGCTCGATAATATACCGTTGGAGCAACTCAGTTGCTTATCTTGCGGTCCTCTTTTCAGCTTTCGGAACTCACTCCAAACCCACTTTTTCACTTCTCTCTGAAAATCGGCGATTATCCAGGACAACTTGCTACACCATTGAACTACAGTGGCTTGTCAAGGGGCCCGTCCAGCCCTGTGCACTTCGGAAACGCGTATGGCATACGTTGTAGCCTGCATCAGCGTTAGGTACTGTCACAACGGTAGTTATGCGCATTGGTCTTCACACCATAACCCAGCGGTGAATGTTCCCCTGTTCTATCCCCGCACCAGACAGATGAACTACACGCAATTACCGAGTCTCGAAGGAACTAAACGGCTTGCTGTCTGTTCTTCGGCTGACTGAGTGTAATCTCCTCGAATTCCCTCCGAACGGAATCTACTTGCAACGAGTCTCCTTAGAAATGTTGTATGATTGATATTTTGTTTCGATTTCTCGAAAACACGGACCTGTACCGTGCAATTTCTTCGTCTTTAACGTGGACGCTCAACTTAGTTGTGATCTGGAATCGTAATACCGCTTCGATATTGTTTCTTTGTTGTTACCTACAAAATCAACTGTCGAGATTCTTCGGAACCGTCATTCTATTTCACACAGGTGTTGGCATCGCGTTACTTGGTGCTCACTAAACCGAAAGCAGCATTATGCCCCGACCCAAGATTTTTTTCTGTTCCCGTTGAACAGCCAACCGTGGGGGAAACAATCGAGTCGGTGAAAAAGGGGAAACCGAGCATTTCAATCCCTCGCTACAATTTTATAGGGACCTTCATTCGTCATATTTGGTCTCGACATATCAATAGCTGTTTCGAAAATTTATGCCTGATTACATTTCACCTATCTCATTTGGGAACTTGTTCCACAATACGGGGTATCGGTTAAGAAAAAGCTTATCCGGCTGCTTCTTTCTTTATCTTTTCACTTGTTGTTGTTGTTGTTGGTTCTGCTGCGGTACACCGCCGATTCTTTTAGCTACAGTGCTGGATTTGAGGAATGTATATTTTTGTTAGGTTATCTAAAATGACAATAAGATTAAATAATATGGTTTCTCATTTTACTTTTTCCTATCAATCCCTTTCTCCTACTGTGAAACATGTCTTTTTGTCTACCTGGTTGAGTGAAACCCCGTCATGGTAGCCTGCGATTGCCATGGACCTGAAGAATCACACCGAGAAGCACTCACTACCTGCCATCCTGCTGGATGTCCTCTGAATCTATCCGTCACTGGTTAGGCACTTTGTCAAATATGCCGCTGCCATTTGGGATCCCTCGTCTAACTTCTTGTTTCCAGTTGTCGTGTATCTCATGCGGATACTCTCCTTTTTACCAACTCTCCTCAACTTGTTCTTTTCTAGTGCTTATTTGGATTTCTCTAGTGATTCATCGTTTGTGTCCTATTTTCAACCCTCTCGCAGGTTCCATTTGCCTCCTTAGATAGACAGAGTCTTAGAAACCTTCCTGAGGTGACTATGAACTTGTATAAATACCCACGGCCACCCTATCTCGCCAACAGTTATGGACCATTTGCACGGTGAGTAGTGATGATCTCCTAGCCACGTTTTGATCTACATTTATTTTTTTACATCCTAACTCGGATACAAGGGAAAATCGACAAGTATAACGCGATCGGGTTTTTTAAGATAATAACTAAAGTCATCACCAGTGCGCTGACACTTCGTTGCCACGCGATCACCGCTGGTTACGCGTGAGTTGTTCGTATTACGACGCCGCCCGCACCTACGTAGCTTCGATCGATGGTCTGGATTACGAGACAGACGCCTTACCATCTCGGCCGCCGCCAGACTGTAGATGGCTCATTTTAGTGTGCAGTCATGGGTTCGGCTGATGCGCATTCATGACGAGTCCCAATGGAGTGAAACGGCCGTCGAGTGCTTTTCCTTATATGTGGTCGCTCTCGGGCTGTGACCATCCCTCTGAAAGTTATTTAGTTTTGGGTCACGTGGCTGAGGCAATGTGACTGTCTCAGCAGCCCCCATGCACAGTTTTTCTTTCCGCTGCATGAATATAATCCTAACGATCTTTATTTCGGTTAATTCTGTTTGCCAGCTATAATCCCTGCACTGGAGTCCATTGAGTCCAGTGACCTTGACGCACGTTTCTATATTCAAATGACATTGATAACAACATATCGATGTATATGAGTACGAAACTATTTATCGGTGGGATCATTTGGAAGCACTTGTTGTGTGAGTACATTGCGACGCGTAATTTCTACCACTAGGGCCGTAACTGACGATTCAGGTAAATATTTTAGGTATTGCTCAATCGAAAAACACTGCTCTACTCGGCCATTTCCGAATTTGTTCCATCTCATCACGCAGAGATAGCTGACACTCCAACCCGGATCTTCTGGGATGTCAGCTTCGGAGTTAGTGTCCCAGCTGACGTCTTAAAGGTTCCAGGTCAGTGTGCTGGCTTTCTCTGCCCTATGAGATCGAATAAGTTCAAAACTGCTCATGGAGTGTGGTATTTTAGGTGGGTAACGCCCGTTATCCACGTCGGAGACCAATGTAGAAACCGAACTTCTGTTAATCGAGAAACGTCAACTCATGATTTACCGACCCCATAAGTTATTTATGCTGTTGACTATAACAATACATATTTAAACACATCTATCTGCACGGACATACGTGTCACGTACAAGCCAACTTGTGCCCCTTATGAGTACAGTTTCTCGTTATATCGATAAATAAACTTTTTGTTGTTTTATTTATTCAACCACTGATGTGGCCAGACCCACTCGGGAAATCGACAAGAATCAACGCGACTCTTCTTTTTGGTGAGTTAACTATTTTATCGTTATTCACTGACCCTTCAGGGTCTCACTAATCCGAGCATAATGTACTGCCAAATGATACACGCCGAAGTAGCACCACCTTGCGGACACACGAGACACGTGACCGCGCCACCGAAAACGATTCAACTTCAGCGAACACTCCATTAGTTTCGAAAAGACCCACGGATCTTCGAAATGCGTGTGTCAATCTCTTCAATAATTTAACTACCATTGGTGATACTTTTAAGCGAACCGATGAACGAATTCAAAAAGTTGTTCGGGCATGATGAGTAATGATTTTCGCTAGGCCAAGGCGTCTAGCAATATTTTGAAATCGCGAAACAGATGCCCAGCAGTACAGCACTGCAAGTTCCGCCTACTCCGTAACGTTTCATTGCAACTTTGACCGAACCATGTCCTTCGCCGCCCACTCTGGATCCAAACAGTCGGTAGTTTTGCGGAACATCGACACCAGATGAAGTGAAATGGCACAGGTTTATGGTTACGTATTACTTTTATTTCCATAACGAATCTGAAGTGCATTGGAGCAATGTGGCATTGGTGGTTCGTCCTGGTGAGCTAGAGAGAGAGTGTTTGGCACACTTACGGTGCCACGAGAATCGTGCTTTTAGAGTTCTAGGATTAGAAGGAATTCCTCAAGTACATTCTTCAAATGTGGCGATCAATAGAATTGAAGCCACCTTTCAAGTCTAGCATAACCATCATGATATGCTGCTGTTTATGAGTATAATACTGCCGAGACACACAAGTATGTTTAGGCGCGATCAGTGCGCCCTCTGCCGTAGTGCGGATTGTAGTCGGATTTTCACTGATTTCTATCTCAAGGCGATCATTGGCCCATAAAAATTTGATACGTATCAATTGTTTTACGCACTTGGAATCCGGCTGTTTCCACGGCGATAAGGGCGTCCTTCAATTCGTTTTAAAGATGGGAAGGACAGTGGGCAATTACCAGCCACTGGGAACTTCCTTCTTCCATCACATACTGTCGAACGTATTAGCTCAGGCAGCCATTGGTTAGTCGCCTCTGTCCTTTATCAGGCGCCTTGTTCACTTTCATCAACACTTTATGTGAAGTGTGAATTGTTTCTCCAGCAACCTAGACGAGTGCATGCCATCCATTTGACAAATCCGATACACCGGACTGATTGAATTGCTCTTCGAAGTCGACTTGACTTTAGTGCAAACCAGCTACCTATCTTCTTGAACCCCGTTTCGCTCACAGAAGCCATTCTTGGACCTGCGTATCGTTTACTTCGGAGTAGTACTCTTGTATTCTCCATAGCACTGGCGTGCTCCATCTCACGTACCGTGTTTTTTCTAGTTGTTTGTGCCTTAGTATATCAACACATGAGACCTTAACAAGTCAATCTAAGAGTTTTGCTGCTCATTTTCTCGAAAGCTACCTTCGACTTATTCCATCCTATCAGTTCACGATACTGCCTATCTTTTAGGGCTGTGGCGACAGAAGTAGCCTCCTACTCTGGATTGTGGGCGTTTCGACTTCGGAGTATGAACTTACGTGAAACAACCTTGCCAGTTAAACCAGTACTACTTTACGTTTATCATATAAGCAGTCACAAATGCTTCTGATCTCTTATTCCTTTCTGAAGTGACAGTTTCAACATGTGACCAGATGACAAACCAATGGTCCGTTTAACGCATCGCTCTCCTCGGATTGAACCTTGCCCCTTTACAAACATCTTTGGATAGAGTGGCACAACGCGCTGCGCGGTTACGCATGATTTCCGCACCTTCAGAGTGTGATGTTAGGTGACAGCATCAGCAGTTCTCTCTGTTACTTTAGAAGCACTTTAGCTAGTCGATGGGCTCGTTTCTCTTGGCTGCTCTTTTCTCTCTGTTGATCGGATCACGGAACAAATTGCTTTGTACACCAATGTTTCAGTTATCCGCAGAGATTACGCGCACCCTCTAGGTGCACGCAGACAATCTTTCTCGGTCTACATGGTATTCTGTCACTACAAAGCTTACGGTGAAACAGAGTTGATTACGTAACAATAGGGCGCAAGTGAGTTAACTGTGATCCTCAGGATCACTCGATTTGGAATCCTATCCGATTTGAGGCTGTCACGGCGACTATGGCTCTCTCGTAACTCGTTGCTAAACTTCCATCCCGTTTACTTCTGCTCCCATCTTTCCTAATCTACTTGTGCTGTGTCTCGTTTTTCCCGCAATCCTAACGCTATAACACATTATTTTTGCTACCATGGTGACGGACACTTTTTTGCCCGAATCAAAGTTGTTTCGCTGATGTGATGTCCAATCGGCGATGATGTGTATTTAACATCCGATGTTGGTGATTCGTTTGCTCGCCTAATTCGCTCTGCATTATCTTGTCATCGATTGCATTTCACCTCTCGATTCGCATTCTTTCACTCATCTGTGTGATGATTACACAACACACGGTCGATTTGTTTTCGTGTCAGAACATACACCTTATGTCTGTTATCCACTTGACCAACTTCTCATCACCTTTGTTTTGTGATATGCACTGTGATTACTTATGCACTAACATGTGATATGAATAGCAGCGTGGTTGTCAATTAAGATTGTATTCCGGCTGCGGAGTCTGGCCTTCCCATAATCAATGTGCTTGGAATGGTTTGTGAGTTGTCCTTCCGGCTAACGACAGTACCAGATAGACTTCGCAATTTTCTCTACGCAGACTACCTGAACGTTGAGAAGTTAGAACGGGCCTTTAGGAGCAGAAAAACATAAACGATGAAATAAACGTACGTAATGGTTTAAGCAATCGTGCCCTCACCCCTATCCACCCTTCTCAAGGCAGTTAATAGGTCGCATTTGATTATCCTCTGCGATGACCGGAACCTCTGGAAATTTCATACAAGCATTTTTCTTCGCAAGTTTCATAAAAGCAAGAAGGAACCACATTTCAACAGGACAAACTGAATTCGGCTATTCCGAATGCTCTCACCTGCTGTTCACATACAAATTGTGGATTGACTAAGTTGCATACTGAGACCTCTAACTTGCGGTTATTTGGCGAAAGCTAAATCGGTCAATATTCACTGTGATCACGTGCATTACGGTTGGACGGAAACAAGCGCTGACCTCACCAAGATAGGTCGAAGCTGATCACAAACTCGGTCTGGTTGTGTAAACTTGGTTTCAGCTGCTGAACCACCGAACTCTCGGCAAACGGAAGCGGACGGGAATATCTTTGTTGTTTACCCTGAACCATCTCCGGAGATTTTGATACGCAAAACAACCGAGTATGTGTCTAGAAATCGAGCTAGTAGGTAACTTGGGACAATTTGCAACCATTTTAGGAGGAATGTGTTTTGCAATCCTTGTATACGGTTTTCTCTCACTTCGGCGAACGTGCTTGCTATCACAAGTACAATGGAACAGATAGACACGTAAAACGGTAACTTGAGAGTCTAGTTTGTGTAAGTTTTATTTACATAGCAACCTTCTTGTCTGGTGCAATACTACTGGTTCGGCTGTATTATTGGCAGAGGCGATTGGGATATCTTCCATCAACCTTGTCCTATTTAAACGATAGCCTACCGAACACCTTGGTGATATCAGTTGATGCTTTCTCTTTGTATTCTTGTTTCGCGTGTCGTGTTATGAGTCGCTCGGGAGGTCGTTTCTCCTTTACTGTCGAGGTAACACGCTGAAGTTCATTTTCGATCATTTCCTGAGAGCGACTTTGACGAGCTTTGGCGGACGTCGTACGGACTAAAGCTTAAGGAATTGCTTGAGGAATGTTTCATTATATTGCGTTGGGTCCTCAGCCAAAGGTATAAACGACTCTGATGGTGTAAAATATGCTACCTAGCGGAGCTTGGTGGATTGTTGGGACATGCATTCTGTCGCACCACGTTAGGGTCCAGTTTGAATTCGCCTGTGTGTTTTAATTGTGGCACAACACATGAAGTGTTTTTCACCTCCAACTAACGCGACTACTGTTGATACGAATCCCGGACGTTGTAGCCTGTGATTTTCGTTTCTGGTTGACATTTTCAGATAAGAAAGTTTAAGCAGCTTATACTCAGACGTGAAACTTGGTAGTTCTCCTCCCCTCCCCCGCCACTGCCATATCGCAGCACTTTGGAACATGTTGTTCGGTGCGGTTCAGAGTACCCGCCGTGTGATGAGCAAATTGCGCTATGCAACGTTAATCTGAGCCGCGCAACACAGTCTACTCGATCACTAGGACCATGTCTGAAGTGGGTAAATGGCTAGATTTATGCGGTTCCAAGTACGCTCCACCTGCACCTTCACGTTTGTCTGCACCCCTAAGGTATCGATCTTCGAACTCGCGACACGCTGACCCTTTCACTATCAGTATATCCCAGCAACATTCGCCACGGTAATGTGAAATCCATTGCTCTGTGGTATCCGCTGTCCACTTAAGATGGTCGGTCGCGATCCAACTGCTCAGCTGATACTCGGAATCCACTAACAAAAGTCGTGTTGTGTATGCTCATTCGGACATGTCTGGATATCCGTCTGTTACCGCAGAGGCCCCTTTTTCTTATCCTACAGCCACAAGCTTTAGGTCAGCTCAGCTGGCTAAATTTACGTCTTGATCAGGCCATCATGAGCTGCATGAGCAGTATTCATTATCTCAACTACGTCTGCTATCGTGGTTTGTTTCATCGGAGCATTTTTCTTACACCTGCACAACCACTGCAATATGCTCTAGTCTTCCCTATGTTCTTTTTCGATTTGTCCCTTCTTTTGAGTTTCCACGGGCAGCTCGAAATTGCGGTCCTTCCCCTCCCCGCCGCTGTAATGCCGTTAGTCCTTTTTTGATGTCTCCGTTTCCGTCGTCAAATCTGTTGTGTCGGGCTCTGAGAGTAGGCCAACCCTCGGTAACGAAGAACAAACAAGACGAGTACGCGACTAGTCAGAGTTTATTGGAGACCAAGACGTTAGCCGGATTTGAGTCTAGTTGCACTGAAACAGACCGCTCCAGTTATAGCTCGATTAATCATTGGTGTCGATTGTAATTCAACACTGGTCTGTTGATAGATGTCTTCCCGATGTGTTTCTATCTGACCGTTAGGTATTAGCCGGGTTTGATCTTGGCTTTAGCATACTCTGGTCCTCGAGGCGGATGATTGATTGACCCGGACTCAAGAACTTCATTGGTATTTGCTAAAGAATCCCCACCCTCTAAGCAGTTTCTTTCTCCATTGGAGTTCCACCTTCTGCTCTCTTCTTCTGAGTGGCAGCTAACAATCTCTCCGTAACCATATCTCTGTTGCGGGGTGTACGATCGCGCGTGTGCATTTGTTTCTCATCCGCCCAGTTGTTGTACATTTCAGCATGACTGGTGTCGGCGGTCGCCCAGAGCTTGTCTTAGAGGCTGCACCAACTGAGGATGGTCCATGGACGGAGTATCATTTTCGCTTCAAACCCGGAGCTATCGATCGGATCCCGCCTATCGTAGGTACGTCGGTTTCACTAGTACATTTACACTCCTGTTAACTAGACGTCCTCCTCAATATGCTAAGTGTTTAACATTGCACAGGATACTTTGCTGTGTGCGATGGCGTATGATAGAAGCACGGAGAGTACTTATTATAATAATTTCAAGAGTACTAGTAACACATTGCCATGTAAGTTTCCCGACAAAGCAACATGCGTTCCTCTTGTTGACTTCCGACCATCTGACGTCCACCATCAGAAGCGATAATATGCATGTGGCGCATAAATAACTAATTAAACTCATGAATAGTGTATTTTTAATGTAATTAATTGATTGTTCTTCGGAGTAGTTTTGAAGTCAGCTAGCCATTCTCACGACTGGCAAAGCACCATGTGGCGGTGTCATCTTATCGGGCCTAATCCGTGGTGCGCTTGCTTCGATTCTATCAGGTTTCAGATCCACGGCTTTAAATACTAGCTAACTGGTCATGTCACCGGACCATAAGGACGACGGCGGACCGTCATGGTTTACAAATTGACTGCAATATTGCGCAACCCTGCTGTCGCGCAGCTTCCGAACGCTGCGGGGAACAGAATTGTCCCCGAGAGCCACGACTTCCACTAACAGTAGCTGTGGGCAACACAGCAGTTATTGACTCCTAAGGCTATTATCTTGATGTACTCAAGATGTATTTTATTGAGTTTTCTCGATGGTTGGTTCTCTGATTTGGAAACTGCTGCGAATTGTCCTCAAATAAGTAACTATCATATATCACGACTTCACGATAAGTTGATTCTACTAGAGGCTAGATAAAGTTTCACCGATATTTTCTGCTCTTACATGTATAAACATGTACAAACTCATACGTTCGCTTCACAATTACTCTGTTCCGTTTTACCCTAAAGCGAACTATTGAACCCGAGTCAAACTACGCCGACATAGATTTACTTACTCTCCGGCTGATGTTCCCATGCCTTTCATCGTTTTCTCCTTTTTGGGGGTTTGCTTATCCAGCTGACCGAATCCACTCCAGAATCTCAGATTTAAAACGAAAAACCAAAAAGATGCGCTGCATTATTAAGTATTATAACAGAATTAATACAGCAATCTTACCCACGCGGTGCCCGCACATGCAACATTTCACGGAGTTAACTGTACACTTGATTCAGCGTGAGCGGAGCATTCACTGAGAAGAATACATTGAAGGCGGTTTACAAAGCGTGGTGGTGGTGCTTGCATGACACGGCACCTTAGTTTCATGAGGTGAGGGAATCTTGTGTAGCGGTTGCTATCGAGACGACTGTGAGACAAGTCCCGTTGGCATCCGCAGCCCTGAGTAAATTGGTCAGACAAACTGGTGAAGGTATAATTTGGTTACCCTACTTTAGATTCCGATTTCGATTCGGCCTCCTGCTCTATTACATAGGCAGGAAATGTAAGGACGAGCACTGAAGTAGGCTGCCTCAAAGGGTGGGTCGATGTTGCTAAAAGGGAAATCGGGTGGGGGCCTATGCATGGGAACGATTGGGCCCCTGTTTGGCAACCGGCCAAATGAAAGATGTATGAACTGAGCACTCTACCATCGGGTCCCAATGGGCGCGATTCCCGGCATTCGCTTTACTGCCTTGCGGAAGTCTACGGGTGGTTGTCTTTAGTCAGCACCATACCTCGGCTTGGGCAACCGGGTAGTGTCGTGTCCTATGACAAACCATGGATTTCTCTGTGGAGTGTTCGCTTTTCTTTCTACAACAACTCGGCCTTTTCTAGATCCTGCTTTTTGTTTACTCCGTGCATATTCGCAGTTTGTTGCCTTCGTGCATATATATATATATATATAGATATATATATATATAGATATATATATATATAATGGTTGGCGGCATCCGGTTTCGGATTTGCCTGTCACTGTGGCCAGACACAGGACGCCTGCGCCTACACAGAGGGACCATGGATGGCTTGCGCTGCACCACCTACATATCCAACCACACACCCCATATCCAGTGTAAACCCGAAGGAATAAGACCGGGAGGCATGTGGATGGGAGCCACGTTTCATCAACCGATCCGGCCCACACTCCTTCACAGGCAAACACAAGCACGCTGTACCTCAGAATGAATCGTACACAAGGCGGTGGCTGGACCGTAGTCCGCTCTACACAGAATCCGTGTGCATGAAACCACTCTTCGAGCTTATCGTGGCCACAAGGATCGTGCATTCCCCCCCCCCCTTCACCCAGCAACGACCAACTGTCTCTTAGACCCAGTATGGACGAGGTAGTGGGTAATAAACAGTTAGGCACCTTGTCAACGTGCACACCAAACGCAGTCACCCCGGGGAAATCAAGCAACAGCTGATCAATTAAAACGATGATATTTACTAAGATGTATCCAAAGATGCATACTGACGTTGTGACATAGCTCTTCATTAAATGAGCATATGAAATAAATTGGTTGCTAAAATATTCGCGAAGGGTTCAAGACGTCAGAAAAAATATTAAGAAAATGTCAAAAACGCGTAAATGTTCTTGAAGTTAAGTACATTTAGCTTAAGTGACGTGTGCAAGTGTATGAAAGGCAGTTCAGGTCGACATTAATATGACGTAAAAAAGTATTAGAACAATATTGCAAACCCAACACCTGAAATAAAGTGGTTCAGCATGAAAGCACACGGTTAGTAAATCGAAGGCAGCGCACCTACGAACGCTGTACCGTTTCTGCCTACGTTCTCAACAGGGCTCGTTGTCGTTTCGGTGTTGGCTCCGAGTAGCCTCGCTCATGATTCACTAGGCCTGCCTGACTCAGGCACTCGCGACCGCATGTGCTACAACACTATGCTCTCGATTTCGATAGAGTAGAACCCATCGGCGTCTTCCGCTTCTTCTCCGCATGCATGAGGGCTTTCTCCTGCACCTCGGCAGCTGCGTGATCAGATCGCGCCATGCACACCGATCAACCGCCTTCGATTCCCATGACCTGCAATCAAGATTAGAACATGAGTAGCTCACTTTGATCATGTCCTTTGTAACGAAGCTTCGGTTTCCCCGCATGCCGCTTCTCCGCACTCAGCTGACCATATAATAGCTGCTTCGGTATTAGCGTCGAATCCATACGCCACACATGACCGAGCCACCTCGGGTGTCGCAGCAAAAGTATGCAACCCACTGCATACATTCCACTTCGACGCAACACTTCTGTGTCTGCAACTCTGTCGCACCAACCGATGCGCAGAATCCGTCGTAGACATTGTTAATGAAATCGCTCGAGATGTCGCACATCCTCCTCACACATAGTCAAATATTCCCTGCCATATGGAAGAAGGGACAGCACCATAGATTTGTACACCATCAGCTTCGTGCCACTGATAAGCTAATGGTTGTTCCACACACGGTGCTCAATCTTCCCGAATGCCGCCGCTGCCTTCGACACGCGGATACGTAGCTCACTGTGCAGCTGCTGATCAGTCGACATCACACTCCCAAGGTAGCAGAAGCGGGAGGTGGTTTCCAATACTTCAGCACCAACGTTGATTCGCGGCAATATTGAAGATTGCACCTCCGGAGAAGGCCGAAAGAGACAGACAGTTTTGCTTGTGTTGATGGTGAGCCCAAATTTTGCCGCTGTCGAAGCCAGAGCACTAGTCATGTGCTGCAACTCATCCGCGCTGTGTGCAACCAACGCACAGTCGTCAGCAAACAGCAACATACGGATAGTTGTCTCACAGACTAGAGTTCTTGCACCGAAACGACGGATGTTCAGCAACACACCATCAATACGGTGCTCCACACGAACACCGTAAGCACAAGCGGCATCCAAAGCACACGACAACATTGCATGAATATATATTTTAAGCAGGGCAGGAGCTAAGACACAGCCTTGCTTCACACCAGAGACCACTGCAAAGTCATCCGAGGTCTCTCCACTCAGCTGCACCCTCGCTCGCATGCCACTGTGCAGACATTCAATTAAACATACAAACATACGCGGGCAACCAATCTTACCCAACACCAGCCACAATACCTCGCGGTTTACCGTATCAAATGCCTTGGTGAAATCGACAAAAAGCTGGTGTCGTTTTCTGCACTTCTCCTGCAACTGACGAGCCGCAAACACCATCTCTGTAGTGCCGCGACCCGAACAGAATCCACACTGCTCTTCCGCCACGTTAGGTTCCACAACCTGGCTGACGAGGCGGTTGAGCAGGATTCGGTCAAACACCTTGCCCACACAACTCAGTAAGTTAATGCCACGATAATTCATGCAACACTGCTTGCTTCCTTTGTCCTTGTACAGTGGTAGCACAAGGGCATCCTTTAGCTCAGGAGGCACCTTTTCTGCGATTCACATGCGTTGCACCAAGTGGTACAGCGTAGTCACCAAGGCGGGTCCGCCATGTTTCAACACTTCAGACGGGATCCTTTCGACACCGGCATTCTAGCCGTTTCGCAGCTGAGCAAGTGCTCTCTGCGTCTCATCTAGTGTCGGCGTGTCCGCTAGACTCGTCTTCACATCGTGCTGCTTCACGCAGTTCAATGTAGGCCAGTCGATCTCTGAACGGTTGTTCAAGAGACAGTCAGAGTGTTTTCGCCTGATCCCCATTATGTCTGCAGTCTGTGTGCAGGTAACGCCTGAGCTACCATCGATCAGCGTCCTTAGCGGCTCCAAACTCGGTCGATGCACCGCCTTCAAGGAGTCAAAGAATTCTTTGTGTTGGCAGCGTTCGGCGTATCGTTCCTTCTCCGTCCACCTTGCATTTTTAATACCACAGAGCTCTCTGGTCAGTCGTCGTCGAATTCTGCGAACGTACTCTTCTGCCGTAGGTCACTAGAGTCTGCTACATGTGCGGCAAATGCTGCATTCTTCTCCGACACCAATACTCCAGACGCGTCGAATGTTCTCATGAAACCAATCAGGCCGATTTAAATTTGCGCGCCCGACGGTCTCCTAGGCAGCAACTGCCACCTCGTGGCGAATTGGTGCCACTGGTTGCCCACTGTGGCTATGCATTTCACATCACACAGGCGT